TATAGGTAAATTCATTGGGTGACGAGTGAATTCCGCGTTGAATTCACGAGTAAAGCCGATATCGCACGAATCGCGAAGCGATGAGTGCGATATCGGCTTTACGAGTGAATTCAACGCGGAATTCACGAGTCATCCAATGAATTTACCTTGAATCTCATGCCTCAATTTTAAAGGAGAAAAAAATTATAAAAACAATAACAAAAAAAGGTTAGAAATGAGCGTGCGTTTGCAAAATTGAAGCGATCGCTCGTGAGTTCAGTGCGAGAATTTCATTTTCAGTTTTTTTGTTGTTTTTTTTTCATTTTAGCTAAAGAAATATTACTTTTTAATAACTAAAACAAACAAATTTTTAGCACTCGAATGGCTTTTCAGTATTTTTACTGACAAGCTCAAACCGGTTTTTCAGAGCGAGTTTGCAACGATCATCGGCGGACGGCAAACTTGCAGACAGACCAGGGCCACAAATCCTAAGATTTCTACAGTTTTCCATTCTTATCTCGATTAGAAATATCATCTATGAAGAAAAGACTTCGAAAGGTTGTTACTGAAAAATTGAAAACAAGTTTAAAGTCATATTTTGAGTCTTATTTGGACGAACGAAACTCGTCGAAGTCAGTAGTAGCCCTGACTTGCCAAGCAGACTTCAAAACCTACTTCATGTTTACTTGTGAAAGAAAGCGTACTAGTAGTAGACATTCTCAATCAAAAAGTAGCTGAAAAACAAACACAGAAACATTTCATAAATTCATCCCATAACTTGTTCTGGCATGGAATATTCAAGAAAAAATGACAAGCGAAACAGCTTTAGTTTTCTGCAAGAAACGGCGTGCAAGAAACGGCGAAGGCCGCTAAATTTTTGTTTACGTAGATGAACTGATCTTGACAAACTTTAAAATGTATTACACTACCATGCAGGTATTTAATAAATAGTATTTTACAGTAATAATTAATTGTGACGTTATATTTATGAGTTTTGGGGTATTTTTTCGTTTGAAAACGTTGCTTTTATCGAGTTAAACTTAACTAACTTAAATGTGTTTTTGTTATATTTTGCTTCTTGAAATCTAGATAAAGTGAATAGACAAGTTGTTGGGAACTAAAACAATTAGATAATAACTTTTGCCAGGGTTTTACACGGATTTTGTGAGTAAATTGTTGAAATAACGCAAGTGTTTTTAAGGTAGCTTATCGGGGCGTTGAATTCAGGTTTCTCAGCGTTGAATTCAGGTTTCTCACCGTTGAATTCCACTTGAAATACCCTCTCATCCGGTTGACGTGYTGACCAATCAACGCACGACTTTAAAATTGAGGTATGAGATTCTATTGGAAATCACGTTGCAATGTGTTTTGATTTATTTTTATTCGCATATTTACCAATATAACAAAACACTTAATGACTGTTCCATCGGGAAACGGTTAGTTTTTGTTTCCCTCGAATCTCAATGTTTCCCTCGGCGTACCTCGGGAAACAGTGAGATTCTCGGGAAACAAAACTAACCGTTTCCCTTGGGAACAGTCATTAAGTGTATAATATTTTGGGCAAAAAATGTTGGAGTAGATGATGTCATCTACTCCATCCTTTTGTTCTTCCATCTTTTGAATCAAAATTTCTCTTATGTGGGATAACTCCAAAACAAATATTTTTCCGCAACTGTTTTCAATAGATAAAACGAGTCATAATTTGTATTTCTTGAAGTTTTGAAATAGGACCGCTTTCATGCAAGTAGCACTTTAACTTTGCCCTATATTTTGGTGGGCACCAAAATAATAATACTAATCGGTAACAATATATTCTGAAAGTGATATATATAGAGGATATTACATGGGCGCTCGGAGATACGAAATTTATCTTCGAATGTTCAAAAGATCTCTCACGAGTGAGCGCAGCGACCATGTAATATTCTGTTTATCATATAATTGGATATGAACGCAAATTATGTCGTAAAATACCTTTTTTCTTACTTCCACTATATAGAGAAACCTCGAATGTGATATTAAATAACATGTTATTTTCACTAGTGAAAATATCAATTTTACGTAACGGAGAAATATAGGTATTTCATAGATAATTATATGATAAATATATGGGTATCGATAAAAAGATGAAACTGAAACAGCTGAAAGAGCTGAAAGAGCTGATATTCCAGAAATTCCAGAAATTAAAATAATAAATTTTAAATTTGTTTCGAAAAGTTTAAAAAGTTTTCCTACAAAGATAACGCTGTCACACGTTCCAGTTTTTGTGTCACCATATGTCAGAAAAGTAAATCTTTGAATGATGTATATACGCAAGTCAATATTGTACAATAGTTTTAAAGTTGATTATTATTAAAATATGGACAATGTATTATTGTTATTTTTTGCTAGGATGCTATTTCTTTCGTCTGTTTTTTTGTTTTTGTTGTTTTCTCGTCATCAACCAAACCATGGTCAAAGTTGGCGGATTGTATACTGGTTATATATTTCGTGTTTCAGGGACGTCCGTTACGCGAGTATCGGTTTGCACTCGCTGACGCTGGTCATGCACCGGGTTCCTGTCTCTAGCTTAGTCACGCTGTTCCGTTCTGACATGTTCTGACCAGATACACGTCGAGTTCTTTCTCTCTTTTACTTTCGAACCAAGCAAACGCCCTCTCGTCGGTTAGTTCTTCGGTTCAAAACAATCTCTAGCCGCACTCGTCACGAAAAACGCCGTAATTGATTAGGTTGTTGTTCTTGGTAGAAGGTGAAAAAGCCTTAACTGACTGTTTGCGTAACAAAAGCGTCTCATTTAACTACGCATTAAATTCGTTCAAGACATTTTAATGACAGATGGAAGAAATAAATTCTACTGAGCAATCCATAATTTTAGCTGTAATATAAAGGATACGACAAAGCTCGATCGCTTTTATTATGAGTTTTGTTTTGTAATTTGAAACGAAAAAGATTTATCAGTATCTTAATTTCTGGAATTTCTGGAATTTCAGCTCTTTCAGCTCTATCAGCTGTTTCAGCTGTTTCAGTTTCAGCTTTTTATCGATACCCTAAATATATATATTACACTTCTAATGTACCCTTTTAAGCTGATTACAATCAACAAAGTAATGACATACGGAAATTCAATGAAGTGTGAAGTGTCTTTGTGCCTAACGAATTCACTGCTTGGCATTGATAAGACCCCCCATCGCTTAGCTGGAATCTTTGGATTGTAAGTTTCCCTCCATTTTGCTGACTTCGCTGTGAAGGTAGAGAACCATGAACTTTTGACCACGTGATTTTCGGTGGTGGATAACCCGATGCAGTGCATGTCAATTTTACAGCACTTTTATGAAGAACTCTTTGGAATGGCTCTGGCATCTTTATGAATCTAGGTGGAACTATCAAACAAAATTTAACGCCAGTTTCAAAACATTCGGATAAAATGCTAAATAAAATTATTCAAAGATTTAACAAGCAAACTGACTTTTACAACAATTATGCAAACTGAGGTGCCTCTCGAAATCAAACATTGCATTCATAATCTGATAAGACAACAACAAACAACAATATTTGCGACCTAAAATCACGGTATATCTGATCGAATCAAAATAATAACCAAAGAAAAAAATCTTGAATTTAACTCTGCAGAAAAAACATATTACTTTTCAATCTTTCAAGGCTAATATTTGTTTACTCACATTTAACAAGAAGTGAAACTGTATTTTCATCCTCTCCGAGAACACTCTTAGCGGAGCACGTGTAGTTTCCTGTATCGTTTTCATCAACATTCGAGATTTCAAGCAATCCTGATTTATCTATTCTGGTTTTACCAAAATCAATCTTTCCAGATTTTTTTTTCCATGCTATCTTTGGTTTGGGATTGCCGTGAGCATTGCAATGAAACGTAGCAGTCTGGTTTTCAGTAACTGTCAGTTTCGATGGTGAAATAAGTACCGAAGGCTCAGAAACCTCTTCACCTCGTTGCCCTTTCGGTCCCGGTAGTCCAGGCGGTCCTGGATTTCCAATATCGCCCTTTTGTCCCTTTAGTCCAGGAGGTCCTCGCAGTCCTTGTTTACCATATTTTCCAGGAAGTCCGTTTATTCCCTTAGGACCTGGTCCACCTCTTCTTCCCCGAGACCCTCTTCTCCCCCTTAGTCCTCTTTTTCCCGGAGCTCCACGAATGCAAATCTTATCAGGAGCTTGACAAAACTGCGAGGCCGTGAGGTTTAAAATGTGATTGCGTACTTCCATGCGAATCGAATTCAAGACATCAGGAGATAAGTAAGGAGTGTTGCGTCTTACGCGGTYGCTAAATTGTGTCTGACCATCTTTTCCTCGACTCAGGGTGACCTTTGTTTCCTCGTGATCTGTGGATTTATAATGAAATATTATAAGAGTTGGCGTAGAATCAAAATGTTTAACCTGGTATCAGATGACATTTGCTGGAGTCGTCTTTCGGACTAGAAAGAACGCTTTCCTTTGAGTCTGTCGGTATTATATGAACTCCATTGAARTACCAGCAAAGAAGTGGTCAATATGTTTTACAAATGAAATAACATGTTACCATAGATACTCCATACAATTCAAATTGTTATATTCTTGTTTTATAGATATAAATTTTAATTTAGAGCCAACGGTGTGTGTTCTTCTAAATGAAACTGTTCTTGCACGATTKTTTTCCTGGAAAAGGGATTTTGAGCTACATTCTTTACAACCTCATAAGCAAATGTGGCGGCTTTAATTATTTAAAATAATGTTGTTCCTGGCAAACGTTTTAAAGGTTTAAAAAAGGGGCGGCTTATATATAACGTTTTATGGTCAAAAACATCTTTTATTTTCTTAGTTTGAAAATTTTATTTTCCTAGCAAAAATTATTAGAGAGTATTCCTCGCCTGGAGTGTTCTTTTTTACTAAATTTCTCGCTGGCAACCAGTTGTGAATTACAGCTGCTGGATGGGACATAAGAACAGTATATTTCTTYCAGGAACCCCTCGGCTCCTCCTAGTATTATATGAACTCCATTGAAATATSCGCAAGAAAGTGGTCAATATGTTCATACAAATGAATTAACATGTTACCATAGATGCCCCCGGAATATAATTCAAATTGTTATATTCTTGTTTTATAGATATAAACTGGATTTAATGAAATAAACAGAACATTATTATGTGGTCGATTTGAGATAATTATACATTTTACCTTCTCGTGTTCAATGTAAGAAATCTCGCTGAGAAATAGCTAYGCAAACTCGTTGAACATTTAATCAGATAACTATTCGTCTTTCCGCGTGATCATGGAATATCCGTTATTCATCTGAAAGTATATCATTTACTCCMTGTAATCATAATTAAATTTGTGCATCGTATAATCTTGAATGAAGGCCTGACAAGACTGTATTTTTATCATGTCGAGACGGRCRTCCCTACCTTGAAAATTACCATATGTTTCTTTCACGAGGCAACAAGAATTGAGTTCCATGTCATGCAGCCTTACGCGATCTTCGACAGTCACCAGACGATGATTTGTTGTGATATACAAAGGAACGATGACTGCACAAAGTAGCAATGCATGCGAAAAGAATGTGACAATGAAGAACTTTGTGTGGCTACAATGTGTTTTGCCAGGATCCTTTGAAGAAGACATGTTGGTGAATTCGGTTCTGTGTACTGATGAGACTGGCACAACGACGAACGCAAAGAATATATATTATTACCCTACTTATGGTAGGACCAGACACGTTTTATTGTGACTGTTGTGAAATTGATCTGCGCATCAAGGTCGATGGGGTTGCACACCTTCTTTCGATCGATCACGCAACGTGAAGTAATTCTGCGAAAGACAAGTTCCAATTGAGCGCAATTTAATAGTTGTCTTTCATGCATGGAACAATTTTAGTTTTCTTTTCTCAGCCGGTTTCCTCAGTGTTCCTGTTTGGAAATCTGTTTAAAAAAAAACAAAGTGCACAGAACGACATAATAACCGTTGAAACCAAAACAAAAAAAAGTAGCAGAACACGTGTTGTTTGGCTATTGCTATGTTTAACTAAGGGACTGTGCAACAATTACCAGGAGGTGGGAGGGGGCGTAAAACCAGATTCCTTAAGCAGAAAATTAGTTAGAGCCCCCCACCCCCATCGAAGCACAAGAAAATAGCTCTTCCCCCCCT